CACCTAAGCACAGTAATCTTACCCAATGACCAACGACGGCCCTTTATACTCATAACTCTACACTTATCTTTGCTACCTATAGCAAGCGCCTGGCCAGTGTACACGCAGGCCGATAAAAATGAAACCCCAACCTTGCTTGCTGGCCAAAGATGTCCCATCACGCTCGTGACTGCAGTCGATATCGCCTACCTAGGCTACGTATCGTAATTGCTGGGCTTGTGTCTACGTGCAACCCTGAGCATGAGGCCTAAACTATACCCAACAGCCCAGTCCAAAGGCCAACGACGGTCCGTCGCACTCAACTGTAATCGACGTCATCTGCCAAGGCTACTTATAGTAACTGCTAGGCCCGTGCAAATGCTCGCAGCTGACTTTAATGCACCAACCATACACAACAAACTAATCCAACGATCAACTGCAGTCCTTTATATCTATACATCGTCAAACTTCCAACCATGCCTGAAAATACACGACCAACTTCAACAAGTCATGTCTCTATCCATTGGTTGCATCGGTAGGAACATGTGTTATCAACCCATTTCACAGTTTTCTACTTGACAGGGTTCCTGAAAAAATGGATAACCAGTTTCGGTTTGTACACATCTTCCGCGATATCATAATTGAACAGAGTTTCAGTGCCTAGCTAACCAAGTGCTCAAAGATCCCTGTGTCCACCATTCCCACTAGGTGTCCACACTGAACCTGGTGACTTACTGTTATAAGTGCAAACTCACTGATTGCTCAATTAGTCCAATTGGCGATAATGAGGGAGCCGTGTGTACATCGGTGTTTCGATAGCGGGAGTCTGCAACAATATGTAGTATTGGGCGGGGCGAATTTACAACTAAAGAGTGGTATATACTTGCCAGTCGTAAGGCCAAGTGGTGCAGACTTGAAACTAAGATTCAAGAGCAACTTGCGTCCTCAAGTGTGCACCCTTGGATGAAGCCGTAGCAAAAATCTAGTGAGTGGACAGGTTCTTGGTGTCAAATCCAATCAATTGGAGCACAAGATCCAAACTCTACTCGATTTCCGCCCCACGATACCAATACAATATAGTTTGATAAATCTACAGCTCGGTCCTCCTCATCAAAATTCGCTACCCCTCACATACTCAACCACAGTAACAATCTTGCCAACAAGGGGCTCTTTCATGGGACTCATTCAACGCATCGTTCATGTCGAGGTATTGCAACCCATCTTCACTTCCGGCCATTTTCGACTATATCAGAATAAATGAGCTAGTAAGGGCAATCCAACTGTCTCGGATAATGATAATGATTGCGCTGGAGAGTGCAAGGACATATCATTCAATCGCTGCCCAACCGAAAAAATACAATCTAGCTGTCGCCTAACGGATTCACCGACACCGATCTGCACGAGCTGCGTTTTTTAGACGACCGTTGTCGAACACCTGAAAACGCCTTGGTTCCGTTTCTCAAAAAGATCATGTCTCTCAGACATACAGCAGAACAACCCGTACTGCAGCCTGATACACACGTTGCTTGATATTCACAGATATACGGTCTTTACGCCATAGGTGTTTCAAATTGACAAACATAACCCAAGCCTTGCGGGTTCGCGCATTGACTTCATCTGTCACACCACAATCAAAACTAACACTACTTTGAATGTATATAAAACGCTGCACCACACCACCTCTCCAACCGGGCCGGAAAAATACCTGTGACCTTGTACAATCTATATTCTACCTCTTAAGATTATCTCGGGCAACCGGAAACATCCCGCTCCTCGCAGAATTGCACATCCCATCCTTTTCACCTCAAAAAGGACGTCTGTTACGGGGCTGCCAGGAAACCGAAGTATTTCGGTGCAATGATGACATGGCACTGCTACACCCAGTTTGATAACACACCCACAACGAACTCCTTCGTCGCTTGACCGTACCCTATCGGCAACTTGTTCCCTTACCTGCAACTACAAACAAACTCACGCTTCATTCTCACCATAACCTTATAATCATGCCTGACGGTACGCCACTTACCAGTTGGGAAGAAACATCATTATAGAAAGGTGACACTTTGTGGATACAAAGTGGCAATCAAAGGACAGGATAACTTTCGTCAGTTCATTCAAAAACACCTGCGCTTTTTCCCCCTTAAGATGAGAACGATGTCTGCATACTCCATATCGACAAGGTTTTTGCCAGAAGTTATTTGAAAACCGGGTTCAAAGACATTTCAGCGTTCGTCTCATGATCTCGTCAATCACGAAATTTAGTACGAATGGAGAGAGGACGCCCTCGATGGACACCGTTCTGTAGCTTTCTACATCCTCCCGTTACATGTCCACCCCTGCATCTCCTGCCCACGACAATGCAAAAGGCTGCAGGTTTGACAATTCTCACTTCAACCACATGCCCTTCAACCGAAAGATACTCCTTCCGCATAATGAACCTCACAATCCGCCTTCTGCAATGAAGGACGGGGAAACTAAATTGAAGCAACTTCTGTCGGGCGCCTGTGCTTCCGGTCTCGGTTTTGGCATATATCGCGAGCGATCCCCCTATGGATCGAAAATTTCATCGATAGAAGGGTGAGGAATGCTAGCAGAGACTCGCAAAATACACGCGATATGATGCCCCAAAGACAACTGGTTTCGCAAAGCTCTACGCTTTTCTTTAGGTCGTGAAAGCTCCACTCTGAGTCCAACTAATCGTACAAACACGCAACACCACCAGATATCTGTGACCTCATGTCCATGGAAGCTCCAATCTAGCTTAATCACGTACGTAAACAATGCACGTCCGTCACACTCACATATGTCCACACCAGTTCGCATCGACTGCATACCTTTATCTGCATCTAGATATCGATCGTCGTTCTTGAAAGCGGACAGTGCCGCCCCATTGAAGTAGTTAGGAATTGTGTTAATTTTGACCGTGTGTTATTTCGGGCAACATTATTACTCACACCGAAGTGTCGTCTGTTGGCTTGCACGTAGTTCATCATGTCTAATAAATCCCAGCCGAGCGCATTATGTGCACACACAAGATCGTCTCAATCCATTTAGTTTGCGCAAAGACTTGAAAACAGTGGCGGCCTTATTGTGCCGTCTGCTTGTTCCGCCCACAAACCCAATAGTTCATTATTCGGCACCACTGTTGGCTCGGTATATCAATGAGGATCAAACCCGACTTTGCGCTAGATATAACGTGTGGTGACCATCATAAAAAACGAAAAACTTTCTAGCTGTGACGAACTCTTAGGCTTCCGTTGGACGCTTGCCGCAACGATAGAAGAATTTTTCATGTCCAGGTCTCGAATGACCGCTTCTTCTTTAGTTTGCGCCGGCGTAAAGGGTAGGATCATTGTCTAAGTCGTTTTGGGATTATTCCCAAATCGAACACGTAAAGAAACACGTGCAGAAACCAGATTTTCCACAAAATTTCTCAGTTTTCATAGAGACAATGCGCGAAGCCACTGACAGCCATTTAAATGCGGATTCCACGCCAACAGTGGACTCCGAGTTCATTTAAATATCTTCCAACAAAATTGCGGCCACATGTGGAGATTTAATGGCCCGGATATATGCCATCCAATACACCAACCCAAAGCTGTGGATCCGCTACGTGGACGACACCATTGTCATCACGAAACGGGACTCAGTACACGAC